AAATAAAAACGAGAGAGAGTTAGAGAGAGCGAGAGAGCTGAAATAACACGTAAGACAGTAGTATAAAGACTGATCTATTCTTCTCGTTATCTATGCTCCTCAATATATATACATCTAAAAGCTGATTTTACCAAACAGCTGTTACTCCGGCCCTTAACTTTATATATGTGAGTGTGTGTGTGTTGTATAACAATGGTTTTAAAAAGTGATACCTGTTAGCTTTGAAAAAAGCAGCTTTTATGTTATGTCACTAACAAAAACATAAACAATATAGATTATTGAGGCCCCATATCTGTAGAGGAGGACGGAATTTGTGAAATAATGCTTAATTAAACTATAAGCAGTTATAAACAAAGTTATAAACTCGTGTTATCAGTTACAAAAAGTAGACGAAAAAATGAATAGGAGTTTTGTTCCAACTGTAAAGTAGCCTTTTGCAGATACGAGGTATCACTTCTTGATCATACGTACGATTCTACAATTAAAAAAAAAAAAAGTTTTTTATAAACATAATGTGTAATTTCCAATCAAATTGTTCAATACATTTTAAAAAACTAAGGTTTTTTTTTTTTTAATTATGTTCCAGAACAACGAAAACCATGATACGTAACTCAGATAGTGTTAATAAATTCCAAGAAGGTAAGGCAGTAGCCTTGGACTTGCCTAAACTTTTTATTTTCTTCATAAATTTTTGTTTTATCATATAATTTTGTAATGGCTTATAGTAAATAGTTCATAGTCATGCTCATTTGTTATGTATAATATTACATTTTTAGTAGCCATAGATCTCTTGCTTGATAACATTCTTTATTTTTATTACTGCTTTTGTCATGGACTTTTTTTATGGATTTTTATGAAATTGTGTATGTATATATATGTATATATATATATATATATATATATATATATATATATATATATATATATATATATGTATATATATATATATATATATATATATATATATATATATATATATATACATATATTTTTAAGCATATTCAATGCTTTCTAATTCTGCCATGAGTATTCTAGTTGCTTTGTGGATATTTTTTAAATTTCAATAATTACTCATTATAATTAATACAAAATAAAATTTCAGTATTAATCTCAATGAGTGTGCAGTGATTTTTTCTTACAATATTCATGAGTTATGTTAAAGTTATTATAATTTTTGTGATTTTCGAAAAAAAAAAATCAAAACCCCAAGTGTAAGTGAAAATTTCGAACAATGAATTTTTATTTTTCGTTAATATGAAAATTCGTATGCGAGTAGGAGTTTTCGTAGGAGTTTTCGAAATGCGAAATACAAATTTCAGAAGTATATATATATTTTTCTAATCTATTATGCATTTGAATTCATTTAATAGAATCAGTAATATGTTTTTCTTATTTTAAGCGAAATATTCGTATCGATTGACATTACAACCAAGAAATCCAGAGGCAAGAAAAAAGGCAAAGGCAGAAAATAATAATATAAAATATAAAAAAAATTCAATATTTTTTCTCGGCTCCTAGGTTAAACGGCAAGAACCTGACATGCATCTGTTTTTCGGACGAATAAGTTTCATCGAAATCAGTGGCACCGCGTCTATTAATATATGAATATATATATATGTGTGTATATATATATATATATATATATATATATATATATATATATATATATATAATTTATACAAATATATATAAAGAATTCATCTTCCAATATACCTTCTTTGTTGAAATCCGGTTTTGTATTTTTTGGCATGCTACCATCGAATCAGTCGTTAGAAGCTGATGTAGAATAAATTTATTGCCTTTGACTTGTGAAAGAATCAAAGGCATTAGAGCTATCTATAGAAACCGCAGCGTTCCTTACTTCCGGTTGAATTTAGTTTTTGCCCTATTCAGTTAATGTGAGCTTGAAAATATTAAACATATTGATGGACTTCAACGATACTTTTATATATATATATGGGATATGAATTATATAAATCGTAGAAAGTCATAATGGTTGGTCACTTTCGAGTACATAAAACCTAAAATCTAACTGATGTGCGCAAAATTCAACCAATTTGATTGCGTTACTGGCTTAAAAATGACGCAGGTGCTATCGCATCGACAAAGGGATTGGGAAACATAGTGGGATTTTAGGATTGTTTTAATGGTATTCGGGAGGAAATTGTTACGCACAAAGAGGGAAATAAGTTTGTGATGAAAAGTTTGAGACCTGCCCGGCATCCTGATCTATGAGGCAATGGATTTAAAATAGTCATGAGTTCGCGTCCCGGTGCCGAGGGAGTCTTTTAAATCCCCGCCCACACACCCTGGCCCGGGAAAACCCCGGATAGCCTTAAAGGCGAGGAGGTTTTGATTATAATGGCGGTGGATTGCAGGAGATATTGTGTATGTAATGGAAGTAGGTGATCGCAGAAGAATTGGTATACAATGACAGCAGTGCCGGCATATGCTTTACCGTCAGGAAGGTCAGAAAGATATGTCAAGTATTTTGAAGAGTTGTTTAGCGGTTAGTCGACTTTCAGCTATTAGTGCCACATCAATGTTCTTGTGATTAATAAACTAGATTGTTCATCTATATGATTTCTAACACCATTAGCATTCCAAAGGAGAAAAGATAAGGATTTGGTAGAAGTCGTTTAACGATTTGTTAAAGGAGGGATGATGTGAGAAGGAATGATATCATTGGATTAACAAGGGATTTGAAGTCGGTAAGAAACGAAGCCAACAAACTGGTGAGATCTGTGACATTTTAAGGAGGAGGAATATCAGAAATTTAAGTATTAGGATGTTCAAATTCATGATTCTGCCAAAATGTGCCCTCTCGAAAGTTTAATACCTCGTCAAAATTTGCTCCCCTAAAAATTGTTCGCAATTTGCGCCATGAAACACCCTTTTGGGCACTCCTGTTTTGAGGTCTCCAGAGACTAAATAACTAAGTCTCGTAAAGTGGTGTGTGTGTGTGCGTATGTGATCAGTCTAGCTTAAAAACGAAAGTTCTTTATTTTAACACTGCAATCACCTACTCTGGAATTTACTTATTCACTGTCTGGATAGATGGATGTCTAAAAAGACATTACTAATTAATATTGAAATTGGTGTTAGTCATTCTGTCTACTGAAAGGCACACACAGCTCAAAGACTGAAGTAATGTGGTTTATAAAAACATATGGAATAACTAGATTTTTATTGCCTACCTTCGATGTAATAAATTGAGTTTTTGTAATTTTAATAGCCTTAATGATTTGTCATTTGTAAGCTTTAGCTCCGTTTAAAATGCACTTCAAAAGCTTTATAATAGCCCAAAATTGCCAGAAAATAATTTCTATTTAAAGTAGAGCGGTAAGTGAACGATGTGTGTTGGCGCGCACCAGATTATTTTTGAAGCAATTATTTTTCTAATAATTTCCATTAACAATTTGTTTATATAAATAATGTAGACTATGTAGCACTTTGCTCTGCGACATTAGTGTCTTTAAGTTTATTTGAGCAAATTCAAAGTTAGAGGTGATTTAATAATTCGAACTTTTATTTTAACCGAATCACGAGTTTATGGTAGGTGCGTTACCTAAATTCCATTACACAGCCTTTAATTTATTCTGTATTGCGCAATTATCTTGCATTTCCATATAACACCAAATTAATCAATGACGGTATATTATAAATACCTATTCATATTAGTAGTCAAAATCAGCGGCCTTATTTTAGATCATGGCCTTTCCCGAATCTATAAAGGTTGCCGTCAACAAACCTGTATATTTATAAGAGATTCGCGAAGGTGTTGATTTTCACTATTAATAATTGATAAAATTTGGCACTAACACAGAAAGTAACTATTTTACTTACTTCAAAATAAGATTAAAGTTAAATGAAATGTATATTAATAGATAAGATAAACAATCCAGTTCATTTTCAATGGGAATTGATAGATGAAGTACCCTTAGCCAAAAACGGATCCAGAATTTAATTTTAGGGAAGCTTCAACATAATAGGATTATATATATATATATATATATATATATATATATATATATATATATATACGAAAATTACTTTGGAAAAAAAAGAAGCTAACTACCTATATGAAATATTGTTTAAGTGATACTTGAAGTCCTGTTAAATATAACTAATTACATGAACAATGATACTTAAAGAGATAATTTTTTTCCATAAACCATTTTACATTTTACCTTTTTTCCTATTCCCCGTAAATCCGTTTGTGGTCTTGGCAAAGCTGACATGGATTAACGCTAATAATTACAAATCAACAGAGATAATATTACAATGTGAAAAGTAAGGGAAAACCTCCGACAATGAATAAAAATTGAAGTTTCTATAATGACTTTAAAATATATAAAAAGATGTTTTGGGGGTTTTGAAGTACATCATTGTCTATTTTCAAGCGATTCTAAAGGGTTTTAATGATATCATTTTGTTTAATTTGAGAACTTATATGGCAAACAATCTTTTGCTACTCAATTATAAAGCTAATAATCTTATCCTTTAAATATTATCGAACAAGTATGTACTTGTAACTAACTATGTACATTGTTTCTTAACCCGGTTATAACGGTAAAACAAAAACAAAAAATTAAATTCGGATCACTAGTATTATTAGGTAATTTATTTTCAGATTTAAATCTTTCATGTTGGTGCATTTCCAAACATTCAAAATTTTTTTTCTTAACCCCATAGGATGTGTTTTGAGAACAGGGAGTAGGATTAAATATGACCTCCCTTACTGCACAGGGTGCAAGAGAGGGATGGAGAATGAGGAGTACTGAGTTATTTGTAGTTAATGCGTTTCTACCTACCTTCGATAATTCGGAAGTGGTATGTGGTAAGTCTGTAACTATTAAAACATTTTTATTTTTTAATTTTATTGAGAATGGGCTTTAAAAATTTTTCGAAAGGCATTATTCGAATAAAATTCTCGAAAATTTCAAACGCACCTTAAAAGTTATTAAAATTAGAAGCATTGTATATTTAAGGGTATATTTATGCTCTTCATGTTCGACTCCTGCGCCTTTCATAGTTTTTGGTGGCAGAGCGTACTCCAGCAGTTGCAGAAGTTCGTTTCCACTTCTTTTCCAGACATTCCTGTTGGTTTAATGTCAGTCACCTACCTATAAAATTTATGTTACGAGTTTATGCGGGATTAAATAACAAAAAAAAAAAAGATGAAAATATAAATCTATGAAATATATATATATATATATATATATATATATATATATATATATATATATATAAATATATATATATATATATAAATATATATATATATATATATATATATATATATATATATATATATATATATATATATATATATATATATAACTGATGTATAAACTAATATAATTATATAAGAACTTACAATAGATTATAATTGGTTCAAGGGTATCAGGAGCTCTTCAATCCGAAAAGCCGTAGCTATCCAATTAGCAGCAGATGGTTAGGACTTGAGTGGAGAAGCTTGCCACTTGTCTATTATCTGACCTCTAACAGTCCAAACGTCTCCCTGCCACTGCCGTTTTAATCTTTCAAGAGTCTTATAACTAGGAGTGAAGTAGGCTGATTAAGAAGTTTATACTGAACTTGATTCGATCACTTCTCTCAGAAGTGGCGATAACTGAATTTCTGTTAATAGCTTCTCAGACAGTTTTTTATTACGATTATTAAAACGAAACATTATTTATTTTAGCTTCCTATACTATTTATTTCCTCACTTGGACTCGTTCAATCCATTTATTAGATACAATTTTTCAAACTAATAATTTGAATGTTGAATATGTTGCCTTTGAAAATTTATTTTCTTTTGTTGATTTTACCTCAATCAAGAATTCTTTTTAAGAATAACGTCATTTATTTCCACCACCTCAATGATCAATATATTTTCCACAATAATCAAATTTATTATTTTTCAATTCCAAATCTGTAATGGAAGCATTGGTCATGCGATGCATAACTAAAATAACATTTAGAGGTTTTTACATATGCATTTTTATTATATACGTCTTCACAATACAAAATATAATATGATATATGAGAAGGAGTTAGTTGAGGGTGCGGTCAAATAAATAAAAAAATTAAAATATATAAATAATTTTCATTTTTGCCGACGTTTCGACCCACTTTGCAGGTCGTCTTCAGGGCGTTGGATGTGGCACTGCGGGAGTGCCAAACTGAAACCAAACTGCCAAAGTGAAACCAGTGTTTCAACTGCCTCCCGCAGTGCCACATCCAACGCCCTGAAGACGACCTGCAAAGTGGGTCGAAACGTCGGCAAAAATTAAAATTATTTATATATTTTAATTTTTTTATTTATTTGACCGCACCCTCAACTAACTCCTTCTCATATCATATCAACGGTCAACCATCTCTACATCATAATATGATATATATATACAGAGGGAAAAGGAAAATTAAAATATACAAAACTAAAAGAAAACTAGAAAGGTCTATATTTTCATGTTTAAAAATATTATTTATTTTTATAAAATAACATACATGAAATATGTTTTAGAAGTATAAAGTTTATAGACCACTGATAGCAGACTAATGGGTCTATAATTTTTGCAATCTGTCGTGCATCCTTTTTTATAAATCGGGAGGATTATGCAATATTCCCAGTCCATGGGAATTTTCTTTCTGTCATATACTTCTTGGAACAGCGATTGTAGTGCTTTAAGAAGTTCTTGACCACCGAATTTTAAATATTCTGGTGCGATTCCATCCCTTCCTGATGCCTTACCTCTGTTTAGCTTATGGATTGCATTTTCTATTTCTTCTTCCTCTATAACCTCCAGGCTTTCTTGAATATTGGGCTCTTGTTTTTGATAATGGTCTGTTTCTGGATTTTCGGAGAATTGTTCCTGGAAATATTCCTTCCATCTGCCAAGGATCTTTTCCTTGTCTGTAAGTAGGATTCCATCGCTACCTTTTACATTTCTAATAGGCTTGCATTGTTTTCCTCTTAACATCCTAACGTTTCGCCAAAATGTTCTTATAGATTCGCGATGATCCTCGCTCAGCCTTTTACCAAATTCCTCCCACGACTTCTTCTTCGCCTGGCGTATGGCTACCTTACATTCATTCCTGGCTATTCGATATAAGTGTAGCTTTCCTTCAGTTCTATCCATAAGGTATGCTTTCCAGGCAAGCTTCTTCCGAGAAAACAGTCGTTGGAGATCATTGGTCCACCAGTCTGTCCGCTTACCCTTGCCAGACACTCTCTTCTTCCCACAAACTGTATTTGCTGTTTCCAGAATACATATTTTCAGTGCCTTCCATATCTCTTCCACATCTCCATCGAATGAAGTTTCCCTTAATTTATTTTCCAGGCTTTCTGTAAAGAGGGCCCTTTTCTCTGGGTCATCCAAGTCTCTTACGTTGAGGGTTTCGAATACTTTTGTTTTCCTTTTATACTCCAGGATGATCTTTGTATCAGCCACAAGTAAAAGGTGGTCGCTGCTTATCTCCGCTCCTCTTACTACTTTTATGTCAGCGAAATACTGCCTTATGTTCCTATCATATATGAAATAGTCAATTATACTATTTCGTTCCATTCATGAGAAAGTGGTTTTGTGGATTCTCTTGTGTGGATAGAAAGAATTTCCTATGAGGAAGTCATTATGCACGCAAAAATCTATTAGCCGTTGTCCATTAGTATTCCTCACATTCTCACCTCCATGCAGCCCCAAAACTCCATATCCAGATATTTCATCATTTCCTGTTCTGGCATTGAAGTCCCCACTCAGAATTACTGACCTTCCTTTTCCTTTAGCTTTATCCACTATTTTTTGGGAATCCGAGTAGAATGCCTCCTTGTCTGCAACACTAGCATCTTCCGTTGGTGCATACACCTGGATTATGGAAATCTTACCTATGGTCATCTTAAAATCTGCTACAATCATTCTTGGAGATATCGGCTCCCAGTCCTCTAAATGATCATACATATTAGGTGACATTACTAGACCCACTCCCTCTTTGGCGAAAACCCCTCTAAGTACTCCAGCATAAATTACGGAGTAATTATTAGCCAATTTCATTTCTCGACTGCCCTTTTTCTTCACTTCACTTATGCCGAGGATTTCTACTTTGTAGGTCCTCATTTCCTCCACCAGCTCGACCTCCTTCCCAGTTAAAGTTGTTATGTTCCACGTTCCAATTCGTATATCCCTTAGTGCGCCAGGTCGTTTCCTTGAAGACAGTCCACATCCGAGGCTAGTTGAATTGCTTTGAATCGTTGATTCTCCAGACGGGTGATTAGCCCAGTGCTGGAGGTCCCGTATCCTCGGGACAACTGGCCTCCTGAATATTTATATCCCCTCAGGAGGAAGGGTGGCCGGGCTATACCCCCCAGCACTTATATACCTGTTGGTCCACGGGTCTTTATTCTGTATATTCAGACCGACCCTCCTAAGAGGGATCCCCTATCCGCCACCCGGGGGACGCGCTCCCTAGTAGACAGGTTCCACCGAGAGTATCCAAAATATAATATGATATATATACAGAGGGAAAAGGAAAATTAAAATATACAAAACTAAAAGAAAACTAGAAAGGTCTATATTTTCATGTTTAAAAATATTATTTATTTTTATAAAATAACATACATGAAATATGTTTTATTTTTTGGTTTTGATTCTAATGAATGGAATGGCGGCATAGAAATAAATTTATCTCAACCACAAGAATATATGCCTCAATGTGAATCTAGGAAAATGTCCCCAAGATGAGGATGCCAAGTCCTTCATGCTTTGATATGAATCAATCTGTATCGATTTACTTTTATCCTAGGGAATTTCACTCTTATTTTCGATTCTAGATATCTTTGTTATCTTAAATTTCGACGTAAACCAACGACTTCCTGTCCTACAGTTTCCTTTAACAATACTCCACTTATCTCTGTTGAGCAAATCCGATACCTAGGACTCCACCTGGACAAACGACTAACGTGTAAACACAAATCCTTCATTATACAGGTATGCTCTGTTCCTGAAATATTTCAGAAAAATTCCTAAAATGTCATTTTCTGTTGGAATATTATATATAACAAAATTTATATTTTAAAATTATAATACCCATACCAGACTGAAACGACTAGAAACCGCCCGACGTTTTCGACTACTGCAGCACTTACTAGACAATCGCTCTAAACTTCCCATTAATTACAAAAGACTCATATACTTGACTATAATAAGACCTATTTGGACTTACGGAGTTGAGCTATGGGTCTCCACTAAACCATAGAATTCCTCTCGCATGCAATCCTTACAATCCGAAATCCTTCGTAAAATCCTCAATGCTCCTTACTTTGTCACTAATAAAATTATCCATAAAGATCTTAATGTTCCTTATGTTTCAGATCTGGCCCAATCCAGATACTTATCCTTCCATAATAAACTTCAGAGTCATTCCAACCTTCTCGTTTCTAATCTTGCTTCCTCTTCAATTCCTGATTACCCTCCGAGGCGTCTGAAAAGAAGATTGTGATCTCCTAATGTAGTCATATCATTAGAGTGCTACCATTGGGTAGTTACTCAGCAAGTGTATTCATGTCATTATATCTATTATGTCCAAATTTACTTGATGTATTTCAGTTGTAAATGTCATTAAGAAATAAAAAAAAAAATATCTTAAATCATTTGATAGTAAATTAGGAAAATAGGTTTATTTTGTAGAACAAAGTAACGAAAGTTACCGCCTTTTCTTACAAAACTGTTCAATGACGGAAATTCAAGCTAAAGGGTATAAAAGCATCTTTCTGTGGTACCAGTTAATAGTTCCGATCACTTCCTTAAATACAAAGCTTTCGATTTATTAAAAACCAAAATAGAGGAAATCGACTTTGCACGTACTAAGTGTTTGAAATGATATATCTCAACAAATAATCTGAGTTTGATGATTTTTTTTTTTTTATTTTGTAGGGAATTCGGGAAGCTTTCAAATAAAAAATGTGTACTTTTTGAGTTATTCGCAAAAAAAAATACTGTATTCATCATAAAAATTGATGAAGCTTGTTTTCGAGAAAGTATGTTATATACATAAATTATAAATGTCTCAAGGCAAAGACTCTAGCCAAGTTTCATTAAAACCGTTAAAGCCGTATTGGCGCTACAGTCTAAAGCGAATCACATTTTTCGGCCACCATTTCGAAAGGGAAGCCCTGATGATAATGAAACGTATACAAAAAAACTTCAAAATCAACTGTCAAAATTTAAAAGAAACCAATGAAGAACTTTCGGAGATTCGCCGTTTTGAACAAACTACCATATATATTTTTATTTACATACTATTTCATATTTTTATTTATTGATAACACTAAAGCTTGTCAATAGATCTTAAACAAAAAAAGAAGGAAGAAAATCGGTTGAATAATCGAGGAGT